GATAAGTATTGAAACAGTATCAAACGCCTTTGTGAGGTCAAGAAACAATGCAATACGTTTTGACGTATGCCTAGTTTCCTGAGTACAAAAATCAATAAGGCTAATGAGGCTGTGGACAGCATCAGATGTACACAAATTTTTCTGAAAGCCAAATTGGTTTTTAGAGAGCAGTTTATTAGTCTCTAAGTAACAAATCTTGTGTTAATTATTTTCTCGACGATCTTCAACATCGTAGGCAAAACTGATATCTATAGTTTTCGACACGATTTCCATCGTCGGATATAAAAATAGGCCTTTTTAAACAAATCAGGGAAAATACCTGTCTGGAGACTCAAATTACAAATATATGTAAGAGATGAAATGATAACATTTTTGTGCTTCTTTAAGAATTCTGAAGAAATACCATCCCAACCAGCTGTTCGGTTGTTATCCAAAGGCATAATCAAGCGCTTGACTTCACTCTCGTCAGTTTCTAGTAGAACAAAGGATTTGGAATAGCCTCTTTCTAATTTGTCTGCCAGTGATTTTCATAGGAAAAAAAATATAGATTTGAAAAATATCTGTTTATATCTTCAACCGATTTTTGAGTATTAATTTCATTGAGGTCTAGGAGATCAGACGCCGTTGATTGCTTTTTAGATAAATTTGTAACAGTTTGAATGACTTTCCACAGTTGCTTGGAGTTTTTGCCTGCTCTTTGAAATTCCAGCTTCTCATAATTTGGGTTGGTACAGAAGTTGCGGTATATTTTATAAGTAATTCTAAGAATCTGGTTTGATGGGTCTTTTTTCGATTTTTTATATAATCTATCTTTGTTTCGCATGCATTTCAACAAAGCCAGAGTGATCCAAGGCCTAATAGGTCTACGTCTACAAGACAGAAATATAGTTTTGGTATTGTTGGCTATAGCTGAAATAATAGGTTCGACCAAGAATTTAACAGCTAAGTTGGGGTCATTCGTTGTGTATACAGAGTCAAAGTTAACACAGAGTAATTGCTGCATGATGCATGAATAAGCTTATCTTCATTTTTTTTATAAATGTACGATTACATAATTTAATTTTAATTTTTGAGAGGGCAAACATAACATACGGTTGGAACCAACGACATGCTAGTATGACGTATGCTAGCAGTTGCGCTCCCTGCTCCCTGAAATTATTAATTGTAGTTTCCATATGGCCATCCCATTTTCACTTCGGCTTACTAATCCGTTGGGCTATGTCGGTCACTCTGGTTCTAGTGCGGATATCCTCATTTCTAAGTTTGTCACGCAGAGAAATCCCGAGCATAGCCCTCTCCATAGCTCGCTAAGCGACCTTGAGCGTCCTCATAGGGCCAGCAGTGAAGGACCACGTCTCAGATCCGCAAGTTATCACTAGCAACACGCACGTGTTGTACAATCTAGTTTTCATGTTGTGAGGTATACCTAATGAGATGTGTCGTAATTTCCCAAAGGCTGCTCAGACGAGTTGAATCCGTCGATTGACCCCTCGGTTGAAGTTGGATTTACCTAGTCGGAATGTTTGTCCCAGGTAAACGTACAGGTGGCTCGGAACCGTGTTTTGTGGCATTAATTGGGGGATGCCTATGTTCAATAGTGGACTTGTGAAGGGCTGTAATGATGATGATGATGATGATGATGAATTTCCATATTTGGCTACACACACACAACTGCCGGGAATACCAATATTGTGTTGTTGAAATTTGGCTTCTGCAAGGAAAAACCCATAAGTCGATACACTAAAAGGAATATGCTCATTACTTAACCAATAGGACCCACAAATCAATAATCTTTTACAACAATCAAATAGGTTGCGGATGACGACTAAATAAGCAAATAAATAAAAAACAAAGATTATTTTACACATTTATTGTTTGTTATAATTTTATCTTTGGTACAGTTCGCACATAAGGTTGTGTGTAGGAAGACATTCAGTAATTATTAAACAATAACAAAATAAACCACTATAAAATATAATTTAAGACAACAAATTTAAAAAAAAAATCTCAAAAAAGTCTACAACTAACCCTTCTTAAAACAGTAACTTAAATGACTTGGATTTTAGATTTAGAAGAAATATTCATAAGACTAAAATTATGTAAGACAACGTATGTGACTAAAGGTACTCGTCCACTGGCCCGCGCCGGACGCATGCATCGCACGCACGGCACGCAATGGATTTTAGTTTGCTTTGTATGATTTCACATGGTGCTGTGTCCACTATCCGCGCCGCTCGCACGAAACGCCGGCATTTACGAGCAAAAAATGCGTTGCGTGCCGGTGACGTCACACAAATCAGTTCGCCGCTGGCACCGTCTACTGCTGCATGTGTTGTTTAACATTTAGCCAGGCCTAGTTTTTTTCAGTGTTGAGTTTGCTAGAATATGAGGATATAAAAATAACAATACTATGTTTTTATTCTGTTTACCTATTCCTGAAAAAATACCTATGGTCTCTATATGACCACTGCCCATTGAATGTGGTCCGTATGTAATCAGTGTCCGGAAAGTCATCTACACAGTTATTAAGGATTAGACTACATCATAGTAAATTATTCACTAATATAATAAAACAATGCTTGAACCTAGAAAAATATTTATTTTTATATAATTGGGGATAATTACCGAAACAAAGTGCTGTACAGAGCAGAACTTGAAATATTTTGCACATTAATTTGTCATATTTTACATATGATCCCCATGGGTTTTGTCTTGTACTGCAGTATCTGCATCGTTTCCTGGTATGGTATACTCTCGCATGGTGCCTTCTTATCAAATGGGCAGAAGTCATGTGACCACAAATTTTGACGGCATTTATCTCCGAAAATATTAATACTAAGATAAATTAAAATATATAAATAAGTACACTTATATTATATAAAGATATAAATAATAATATATAATTTCATTCATGTACCCACATTCTACGTTTAGTTTTACGTTCTTCTTCCAACAAGCAGCTAATAATAATATCTTCATCAATCTCCATGAGCGAATACGTCAACTCACGACAAGAAAACACTCAAAACTAAATTAAAAATCCGGATACAGTGGACACATGCCATCGGAAAATCGGTTCAATCTGTTGCGTGTCGTGCATGCGGTGCGTCCGGCGCGGTCTAATGGACGCGTACCTTTAAAGTATATTTATTTTCGATATAATTTAATACGAAATAATTGGCTTCGTAACGTCTTCATACAGATATACAGGGTGTTAGTGTAAATACCGTTATCCTTGAAACCAGTGGTTTTGTTTCACTTATAGAACGTACATTCAATGAAAAATAACAACGTTTTTTTTAAAGTAAAATCTCAATTTTCAAAAAAAAAAAACACAATAGGTAGGAATTTTTGCCTGTCCTAAGCCAGAATGAAAGTATGAAGGAAAAGTTACATCACCGGTTATGCGTACCTATTGTGTTTTTATTGGAATGTTATGTAGGTAGCTAGGGCGGGCGGTGATCTTTACAGTGATTACGTCACTCGGGCGCATAGGGTGTCCATGAATTTACGGACGGTGTCAGACAGAAACTTTTTAAATTTTATGAAAGAAAATAGCGTTTTCTTTTTTAAATTCGGATAAATATTTTTATATTAAAGCCAACTACCTATGGTTTTAGTGACAACGGTGTTTACACTTACACCTTGTATAATATGTACATACCTGTTATATTTTGAATGATTACTTTAAATTTATAACTCTTCCGCAAAAAAAAATTAAGAATTAAATTCTTGGTATAATTTTTGGCACTAATTATTTCATTTTCTCTAAGAGAGATAAAATTTGAACGGAATCCGAAATGGAGTGAAGGTTGACAGGTAGGACGGCAAAATTTATTACAAACAATATTCTTTTGGAGCTTTACAGTTAAAAATATCGATAACTCCTAAAAGTAAGCAATCATATTTTTTATAATTTAAGATAAACATACAATACATTTTAGTACAAGGCAAACCACTAATTTCTAACAATTAAAATATGAGATTCTTGTCACTGATAAGGCTAAAATATGATTTGACGTCACTTTCGTATTGTTGAATTACGACAAGAACAAAAACATTTTAATTAAAATCAGTTAAAGTTATTAGTTATTGCATAAAGATATTACAATAGAAATAAACCCTGTTATTTTTGTGCTTCTTGACAATAATGTGCAATGCTAACTGCATAGGATGAGAATATTCATAAGTGTAAAATATTAAATACAGAACTTAGATTTATCTATAATAAGAACTTGAAGATGTTTTAAAAAGTTTGTCAAGATGTTGTAGTATAAGATTGAGGTCGCTCTATTCTTCTATTCCATTTGTCGAGAGATTGCGCTGTAGTGCAATAGTTTTAATGTTTGTTTCTCAAATATTTCTAATGTTAAGAGCATTTAGATTGTTTACTTAATGGTGAGTTACTTCAAAGTATTGAATGTTTCTATAAATACTTTTAAATAATATCATACTTAAAAAGAAAGAAGAATCAACAGAGCTGTTCGTCTTTTTGCCATAATTAAAAATACATTGTTGACAGATTAAAAAAAATTAATTGTACTCCAAAAATTGAAAGTTATTTAATGATAGTAACTGATTAAAACCTGACGAAAAGCAAGTCTTTGGATTCTAATGGCAAGATAAGGTTAAAAAAAAGTTAAAACCTAATTATGCACAGACAATAAATTCACTTACATTTACATACTATAATGAGCTTTGAAATTAATAATATGAGTATTTACTTTCACTTTACCTTAAATTATAATCTTTACAAAACTTAAAACCAAAATTTTGATATTCATACTATTGCTTCACAGATATAGATTTAGTTATATTTTTATATAATAAAACTTATGATTTCCGTAAAGATATTTAGAGAGACTACAAAAAACATTTTTAAAAAAGAGAAAAATATATCTTTTTACCTAAAGGAGAACAACTTTGTTGTGTTATTAACATTTATTTTCAAAATGTTAATTACCTTCACGCTCGAATTTCATAAGTAAAGTACGCAAGAATTAAATGCCTTGAGTTAGAGAATTTTCAAGTACAATATCAAATTCATCCAAAGGTTCGAGTATCTGTCTAAGGAAAGTTAGAAGACCTCGCTTTCGCAAGAAGCTTTGCTCTTCATACATCTCGGCGGTGACGCGGGTCAATGACATCGGTACCAGCATTCTGTGCAGCCAGTGCTCTCTATAAATCAAACAAACAATTGTTGTTATATGTTACATTGTAAGAATATCGGTCGTATAAGAGAATGAAATATTGAAACTTCAATGTAAAAACCGTGAGTGACTTATCCTGATTATTCAGAAATTTTAATTAAATATAAAGAGAAATGTTATACACTTTGGAAAGAATATTTTGATAAAAGGTCGCAAGAAAAAGGGATTTGGTACAAAACCATCCAGAGTCAGCATCCAAAAGTGCCTTGGTTTAATCAATGTCTGTTGAATAGAAAATATATATTGTATTAGCAATGCGACTTCGTTCCGGACACATTCCGTGTAACAAGTTTGCTTTCATGATGAAAAAGAAACAATCTTCAAATTGCGATACATGCAAAACAATAGAAGATGTACAACACTTGCTCGCGGAATGTTCCAAAAATCATCATGAAAGGAAACTATTAGTTGCCAAAACTGATATTAAAATATGTAACCTAGGGGAGTATCAAAGCATTCTGTCTGAACCATTGTCTAATGCTGTTCAAATGGTATATAATTTAGTTAATATTTTGTGTAAATAATTTAAGAAATTGTAGTGTGTTATTAAAGAAGCGATTGAGCGGAACCAGGGCTCCAAAGTCTTTGCCAGAGATCTGTCTGCCAGAAAGAGCCAACTGTCAAAGCTGTAGACTGAGTGTGGCAGCATCGTTTCCGAGACACCTGAGATTTTGAGTGAGATTGAGGGGTTCTATGGGCAGCTGAACACATCATCGTTGGAGCCACACGCAAGTGTGAGTAACGATCCAAGAGCAAGTCTTATCCGACACTATTCCGATAATATCCCGGACGTCAGTCTGAGCGAGATTAGAATGGCTCTCCAGCACCTTAAAAAACGGCTGCGCCCCAAGCAAGGATGAAATTATAGCGGAGTTTCTGAAAGCGGGTGGAACACCGGTACTTGAAGTCCTTCAGAAGCTCTTCAATTCCGTCCTCCATGGTGGCACTACTCCGAAGGCGTGGAGCAGAAGTGCGGTGGTCTTGTTCTTTAAGAAAGGCGACAACACTCTCTTGAAGAACTACAGACCGATTTCCCTTCTGAGCCGCGTCTACGTGCTGTTTTCGAGAGTCATTACGAATCGTCTCGCACGCAGACTTGACGACTTCCAGCCTCCAGAACAAGCCGGTTTCCGAATAGGCTTCAGTACCATAGACCACATACATACCCTGCGGCAGATTGTACAGAAGACCGAAGAGTACAATCTGCCACTTTGCCTTGCGTATGTGGACTATGAGAAAGCCTTTGATTCCGTCGAAATTTGGGCGTGCTACAGTCCCTTCAGCGGTGCCAAGTTGACTGTCGGTATATCGAAGTGCTGAAGTGTTTGTACAGTAGGGCTACGATGGCTATCCGAGTACAGAATCAGAGCTCGAAACCTATCCAACTGCAGAGAGGTGTAAGACAGGGTGACGTGATATCCCTGAAACTCTTCACCGCTGCATTGGAAGACGTTTTCAAGCTACTGGACTGGAAAGGATACGGTATTAACATCAATGGCAAGTACATCACTCACCTTCGATTTGCCGACGATATAGTCCTTATGGCAGAATCGCTGGAGGACCTTAGCACTATGCTCAATGACCTCAATGGTGTCTCCCAACGGATAGGTCTTAAGATGAACATGGACAAAACAAAGATCATGTTTAATGTCCATGTCACACCTATGCCGGTAGTTGTTGGGAGCACTATGCTCGAAGTTGTTGACGAGTACGTTTACCTGGGACAAATAGTCCGACTAGGTAAGTCCAACTTCGACCGAGAGGTCAATCGACGGATTCAACTCGGCTGGGCAGCGTTCGGGAAATTACGACACATCTTCTCGTCAGGTATAGCTCAATCTCTGAAAACTAAAGTGTGTAAACAACCAGTGCGTGTTGCCAGTGATGACTTACGGATCAGAGACGTGGTCCTTCACTGCTGGCCGTATGAGGACGCTCAAGGTCGCTCAGCGAGCTATGGAGAGGGCTATGCTTGGAGTTTCTCTGCGTGATAGACTCAGAAATGAGGATATCCGCAGTAAAACCAGAGTGACCGACATAGCCCAACGGATTAGTAAGCTGAAGTGGCAATGGGCCGGCCATATAGCTCGAAGAACCGATAACCGTTGGGAAAGAAAGGTTCTCGAGTGGCAGCCTCGTACCGGTAGGCGTAGTGTAGGGCGACTTGGGTCGGGCAGTCAGGCTGCTTGGGGGGCCCATGTTCAGCAGTGGACTTGTGAAGGGTTGTAATGATGATGATGATGAGTGTGTTATTTAGTAATAAGGTACAATGGGACTGACATGTTAAAAATAGCGTAAGTCCCTAAATTAAAAAAAAGAATTAAAAAAAAAGAGAACCGTTCACTCCTCGTCGCCTAAGCGTCGAAGTGTGTCCTGACATGCAGAAGTAGATGGCAGGTCGACGATGATATGGCCTACTGCTACTGCTACTCACCGTAGACTGAGGCAGATGAACAGCTGAAATTTTCCATCTTTTCCGAGCGTACGACCCACGGAGTTGATTTCGTCCATTAGATGGCAATAGCAGCGCCAGATAGCTCGGTGCTCTTGGTCCTGTCGGCAGTTGTACGCCACGCCACAACTCTTGTTCGTCTGCGAGTTTGTTTCATCGCATAGGCTCATTTTGAATTCGTCCTTAACTCTCGCTAGAAATAAGTTTTTTGGAACATCATAAAGTGGTAAATATGAAATGTATAAATAAGGGGCCTTCAAATGTGATACAAATACGGATTAGTATGCTGAAATAGCAATGGACCGGCAACAAAGCTTAAAGATCCGACAATCGATGAGGAAAAAAGTTACTCGAGTGGCAGCCTCATACTGGTAGAAGAATTGTAGTGCGGTCCCCGCTAGATGGAGTGACGACCTGGTAAGACATGCGGGAAGACGATTTATGCAAATGGCTCAGGACCGTGCTTTAGACCGTATGTTGAATTGATCGTTGAGATGCGTTGTCACCTCTGAGGACTACGATGGAATGCCTCGTTTCCAGTAAATTGGATCTCCGGTTCTCTACTCTCACCAGAGGAAACACAGCAGCATTAAGCGGCTACTTTAAGCCTTGATTCTTGAGAGAGAGGTCCTATCCCGGTCGAGCCGATCCATTCACGCTATACAACCATAATATAGCCGCAGCGTGGCATAATACAGCCTAACGAACAAATAAGAGACAGACAGCTATAAAAGATAAACATATAGATTTAAAAAAGACCCAAGTATGCCACTTTTTGAAAAAACAAGACAAAAAGAAATGAAAAAATACGATGACGACAAAACTAATAGACCAAATTTTTGAATGAAAGAGAAATCATGTATTTAAACTAACATGTACTCTCATTCGTCATCCAGTCTGTTTGTTATTGAGCAAACTGTTCGCGACGGCCTAACAACGCTAAGAAACAAAGTTATAAAGAATATTGTTTTTTGTATTAATAGTGAAATTACCGACAAAACTGGGTGAAAACGTGTATTGATATAGTTGTGTAGCATGTTTATTATAACTCTTAGTATATTTGTATAGAATGTAGTTTTGATAACAAGTGATATAAACAACTTTTATTATATTAAGAAAAATCGACCAATCGCAGCGCGTCTTATCGTAGAGTTTCTAGAAGTTTTTAATTAACTGTGTAATAGTTCATACTAAAAATAATGAAAATAATTTTATGTTCTAAAAGAGTTGTAAATATGACAATGAATTAGCATATGGCTTATAGATTCAGAAAGTGTAGGAATATTTTGTATAATTAAACGCATTTGGTAGTTATATAAAAAATCAAAGAATTAATGTACCCAAATATTATAATAATTTGGGACATTTCGTTTAATAACTTTTTACAATGATAATGTTTTGAGTAACCTTTATGATATACTAATAAAGTACCAGACTACCGATTTAATGATGCATGTTAGTGTAGCAATTATTTTTGTATAAAAAATATAGTAATTTATGCAATTTGCATAGTGAAAAGTTTATGCAATAAAGAGGCAAAACGGAAAATGGCAAGCGGCTCACTGTAAAGTATAGTCAAAGTCTACCTTAGGGGCTCGGGACCCAGTAGGAGTAGTAGTGTGAAGAATCTACCAGTGACAAGCAGTAGTATCCGGTAGTAGCTGAAGTGACTAGTAGCAGTATATAGTGAATAGTGAGTGTTAGCTAGCCGAAAAAGGTCGTAACTGATATTCGCAGTTACATATAGTGAAAGTGGTAACTGATATCCGCAGTTACACGAGTGATAAAATCAGCTAGTTTAGTTGATAATAGCTGCTAGTCAGTAGTGTTAGAAAACCAGCTACTACCAATAGATATTTGATACCACCGTACAATTTAAAGAAATCTTTTGAAATATACAGTGACCAACCAATAGTTAACAACCGCAGTTCAACAACCGTGGTCTATAAACAATAGTTATAAAATTTCGCGACTAATCAATCAGTCGAACCGCTGGCCACTACCTTGCTATTTGTATTTATAAATCGTGCATTTTGATTTGAACCTCAGTCCACAATATCTCAGCGGCACCCACAAAGACGGCAGTGAAAGTACCCTCCGGAACCTATAGGTGTAGGACGTGAGCGACTCGCGAAGTATCTTCGACAACATTTACTCCGAAGAGTTTCGCCCGTCCGGCACACAAACAATTATTGATGAGCAAGGCTCTGGCGGCTGACTGATGGCGAAATAATCATTGAAAAATACAGATTACAAATTTTACACAATGCTAGTGAATGGTCCTTCGTAATATAATTAAAAGGCTACAGATTACAAATTTTACACATTGCTAGTGAATGATCCTTCGTAATATAATTAAAAGGATACAGATTACAAATTTTACACATTGCTAGTGAATGGTCCTTCGTAATATAATTAAAAGGCTACAGATTACAAATTTTACACATTGCTAGTGAATGGTCCTTCGTAATATAATTAAAAGACAAGCAAAAGAAAAGCTTTTTTGATTTAATGAAATGTTTGGTGATGTTTTATTTTCAATCGTTTTCTTAGAATGACATGGAAATGTTACACTTACCGAAGTAATCCCAGATAAAGAGATTTTTGCCGAAAAGCCGAGCTGACTTAAATCCGCAGAGGAAGGCTTGCTCTAAACATTTGACGAGTCCGTTTTCGCCGCATAGCAAAACACTTAGAGAGTTGGCATCTTTCTCGCGTTTCGATTGATAGTGCCATTTTACTATTGCGTTGACGCAATCACCTTTAATATAAAACAAAGGAAAAATTAATAAAGCAATATCACACTTGTTTCTTACTATACTCTACTTCGTTGCGATTTCAAAACAATTGGATTGGAAACCGGTTGGATCTAGTGACTAGTTGAAATTGCGGGTATATCGAGAAACCCTCCCACGCGTTTGTGCAGTATAAAGTTCAGTGTAGGGGCAGAGCGCGAGAGATTCCGCTTGAGTCGTTTCACGAGTGAAGTCATTCTACGCGTGCTAAGATAGTCGTTGTTCTGTCTATTGTGGTGATTCTTCCGGTGCAGGCAAGGAGGATGGTGTTGCTGAGAGGCTGTGCTGTGTTACGTTGCGATGGATAAGGTTGCTGTTGGTTTGCATAATTTGGTGTTATCATGTAATTGTGTCCTTCACATTGCACTGGTGTGTAATTGTGATGGGGACGTACTGCGGTATGGTCAAACTGTAATTACTCTATGCTGAATGTATAGTGCGTTACGCTGTCCTATTATTGATAGTGATAAATTGCGCAAGCAAGAGAGCAAGTTCAACATCAATTCTCACACTTTTACCATTTTTAATAATTAACACTATCCTGTTGTTTTCCACACAATTGGATTATCCTGTTGTACTTTCCGACATGTATATTTCCCAATAAACAAATAAATATAAATATATATTACAACAATAATTTTATAAAAAAGCATATACGTACCGATCATATGCTGTATAGTCGAAGTAGAGAGGTGAGTAGTAGTTGGTGAGAGCGCTGGGGCAAGCGTCGAGAGAGCTGGCGTGCGAGGCGAACGTTCTCCACGAATTCTCGCTGCGACTACTAAACGTTCGGTTGAACCGTCATCTACGCCCGTTCCTAGCCATCGATTGCACGGAAATCTGAGAAAACATAAATATTACTTAAAGGTATTTGAAATTAAGTGGCCAAATAAAAAATTATAAAAACTATATATTCATATATAAAAAGATATTATATTTAAATTAACAGAAACATTCAGGAAATTCGATTTACAGTTGTGAACCTTCTTGATGCAAGAACTCTTCGAAACTAGCTCTTAAATTTGTGAAAACTCACTGGTACATTGCGCGAGCTTGCTGGTCATTTCTTGTTGAATATATCTTAATAATTATTAAATGGGTAATTGATGTTGGTATGTTGATGTATACTAGACTTTTCAAGTATTCCTAAAGAAAGAAGTCAAGGGGAGCCATAAAATATCCCCTCGGCGTTATATAAGTTTTCCAGCGAACCTTTTATTGATGACTGCCAGCGATTCGCTTGACATAAATCACACTGTCACGCTGTCTTGTTGTAACCATTTCTAGCTGTTATATGCTTCAAATTCATCCAATTGCAGGGAGAAAAATAAACATAACGTAGTTAAGTATCGGCCAAAATTCACAGTCACTGATTGACCTAGTGATTTCTAAAGAAATAAGGGCCTACGATTCCTTGGGTCGACTGTGTAGTGGTGACGTAAACATATACACTACCTTATATTGTCCCGTAGTACGAGGGGACTGAGGTATACAAATCAGGAGATGGACAGCAGTCTTCCTAATTAAAGTTACAGCCTATACACGTCCCACTACTGGGCACAGGCCTCCTCTCATTTCTGATAGGGTTTTAGTAAAAGCAAGTGTCCGGCGCGCCGCCCCAATGCGTGTGTGTGAACTCCACATAATTGCGAAATATTTTCTTTTTTATTTCTCAGACATGCAGGTTTCCTCACGATGTTTTCCTTCATCAGCACAAAACAGCACTTAAAATTGAAATTAACAATTTCATCGGTATCGGCGGGGATCGAAGCCGGGTTGCTTGCGTACTATGAAATTTACAGCGAACGCTAACCATCTGAGCTACCACGGCTCTCTTCCTAATAACAACTAGAAAATAAAAAAGAAACCACCTAATAAGTGTGGTAACTATGGTAAATGTCTTCTTTATGAAGCAATCTATAGGGAATGCCTGTGTCCAGCAGTGGACTTTCGATAGGCTGTAAATGATGATGATGATGATGGTTCCTTGTGGGTGTAATGGCCGCCCAAACTGTAAATTTTGGTGAATGTAAGTGTTAGGGGTTTCTAGTGTTTTGATTTTGAATTTTCTGCTGCACAATAACTATTTGTTTCCTTGAACTATTTAACGTGAAAAATATGTGTAAAAAGTTCGCCCAAAAATAAAATATTGTTTAAATTCTGTCAGTGCTCCAACCATGTTTCTAAAACAAAACTGTGGTCATTTCACTTTAGCCTTTGCACTAAGTGAATTTTGTACAGGTGTATTTTAAAATATTATACAGTATACAGGGTACATTATACAATATACAGAGCATAAATGGTGCTGTTCACTCTAATGTGGGAAGTCAGAATGTGTCAAATGACGCAAGGATGACAATTCATAATGCTGTGTTGGTCCTTACCTTAATGGTAGTTATTGTTTGTTGTGGCAAAAGAAGCACGAGAGTAGAATTAATGCTGTAGAAATGCGATCATTAAAGAGCATGTTAGGTCTGAAACTGATTGACAGGGTGGGAAATTGAGTGAAAAGAGAAATCCAGAATTAAGACTAGAACAGAATTAAGAAAGAAATGCTTTCGTAATATAGAAAGATTGAACGAGGAAACAGTGATAAAACGAATTTATAGGGCGATATATTGAAGATGGGTGAAATTAAGATGATATAAGGAAATCCAGAGAGGTGTCAGGATCGTGCCAAATGGAAGTCCATAGTCTCTGCCTACCCCTCTGGGTGAAGGGCATGTGTGTTTGTGTTGTTTATATTATCTACATACATAATAATTTCAATATGATTTTAGCGAACCCTCAAGGCACAAGTCCTAGCACTTCTCCGTATTTTTTTAAATTATGTACAACTATTCGGATCGATGATGTAAGCTGTAAGTAAATAGTTGTCTGGAAGAGATCATTCTTAGAGACAAGACCGCCCATTGTACCACACTTCTTTTTTCTCCTTTTATATTCATATTTTTTGGCGTACTATAAAGTGTTATCTATCTATTGATCTTAGTAAATTGCCTTCAGCTATATAGGGCTTAGCAGCACTTAGTTTACAAGACAAAATGATATAGTTGGTATGAGAAAAAGTATACAACTTACGTATAGGTGTGACCTGTAACCTCGTTTCTAACAAATATCTGGTCGAGCAACCATCTCGGTGACAAACCACTGTTGTCGTGGCCAATACGCAGAGTCGACAGGATACCCAAATTTTTATGCTACAAATAATAAAATCCATTAGTTATTATGGTGCTTTCATTTCATGGGTTTCTTATAAATTAATTAAAGCAGGAACTCTTGATCATCATATTACGATACACATATTACAATAGATAACGCCATAGAGAAAATTATATTCGAAATAATTATTACACAATTTTGGTGGTTGTTTATTCTGGAACAAGGCTGGAGTGTCGGAAGAAATAAGAGAATTAAAATAGATCATTTATTTAATAATTTAGAATTTTCAATGTTGAATTATAAACGGTATGTGAAATAAGAATAGAAGGACAGTTAATTGAGCAAGTGGATGAGTTCGTATATTTGGGATGTGTATTCAGCAGGGATGGGAGATATGATAAGGATATTGAACGACGAGTGAATGCAGGAAATAAAGTAAATGGGGCTCTACACTCTATTGTGAAAAGTCAGAATGTGTCAAAAAAGGAACGTATGGCAATTCACAGTGCTGTATTAGTCCCTACTTTAACGTATGGTAGTGAAAGTTGGGTGTGGCAGAAGAAGCACGAGAGTAGAATAAATGCAGTAGAAATGCGGTCGCTAAGGAGTATGTTAGGCCTGAATCTGAGTGACAGGGTGAGAAACTGTGTGATAAAAGAAGAGTGTGGTTTGCAAGATGATGAGGATTAAGAAAGGGATGCTTCGGTGGTTTGGTCATGTAGAAAGAATGAATGCGGAAAGACTGACAAAGCAAATATATGTTGCAGAAGTGAATGGAAGAGTCGGAAAAGGACGTCCTAGGCGGAAGTTTGTGACCAAATTGGCGATATACTAAAAATGGGCCAAATTAAGAGTACCCTTAACCGACGAGCATGTATGCGTAGGTATATGGATGTGGAAGAGGCGAGAAAGGTATGTCAGGATCGTGCTAAATGGAAGTCTGTTGTCTCTGCCTACAGGTGCCTCTGCCTCTGGGAGACAGGCGTGAGTGTTTATGTATGTATGTATGAGTTATAAACTATACAGCTAAATAACAAAACGCAACCCGGGTTCGATTACCACTGGCATGAATTTGTTAATTGCAATTTTAATATAATGTATAATATGATTTTTGACTATATGACCTTGGATTACATAAAAGGAAAACACGATATCATGTAATTTTCTCGATAGAAAAAAATTACAAAATAGGCTCTAATTATTTACATTTCTCCATGACACCACAATATTCTTACAAATAATATCTTGGAATTATTTTTAAGGCATAGTAAATAATCATATCTAAGTTCTCATAAACTAGTTTTTTAATCCATTACGAAGTTTTGTTAAAATAAATAAAAATGTTGTTTGGCGCTTACTTAGTTTTTTTCTCTATCTCATAATTTGCGTACTATGAAGTCATTGCATCACTTTCATTTAGATTTTATTACTCCCTCGGTCGTCCGTTAGCTTCACCGACAAAGGAATAAGCCACGCCCCTAAAACTTCGATTCATTTTCAAGGTATCCTCTTAACTACCCTATATCGACCCGTGAGTGTCGTAAAAGGCTCAGTGGGAAATAAACGAGGAGATGAGCAGCAGGACCTTCCATCTCGCAGTCATTTATTTCTATGACAACTAAAAACACATAACTGCGGTTGCCAACCCGCATGGCAAGCGTGGCAAATATGGCAATTATCCCTCCTGTGAGGCAATCATTGGGGGAGGCCTATGATCAGCAGTGATCTTTTGATGGGCTGTTATGATGATGCTGTCTGTTTATAAATTAAATAAATCAAAGTCATGTTGAAACAAGAGGCGTCAATACGATAACTAATAAAGGTCAGGTCACAGAATACCAGCCTAAAATAGCTGCTTAGTGCTGCTGTGTTTCGTATGGTGAGTATAAAGAACCGGAGACCCTTTTTACGAGGGTGGATTGAAAAGTACTCGGCCTAACCAAGAAAATAAACACATACTAAATCAGTTATATTTTTATTTTTCTACATAATCACCATCAAGTTCAATACACTTTTGCCACCTCCCCTTCCAAGCATTTAGACCGTTGAAAAAAAATGATTCTTCCTTAGAGTCAAAATATGCGTCTACAGCTGCTTTGACCTCGTCGTTTGTCGAAAATCTTTGACCTCCCAAGTGCCTTTTTTAGGTTAGGGAACAGAAAGAAGTCTGATGGTGCCAGATCAGGTGAATACGGCGGATGCGGTAACAGTTCAAAGCCACAGTTGTGAATTTCAGCCATTGACTGTACTGACGTGTGAACACGGGCGTTATCTTGATGAAACAGGACTTTTCTTCTGAGCATTCCTCGACGTTTTTCTTTTATTTCCTCTCGTAAACGACGTAGTAAGGTGCAGTAGTAATCAGAGTTTATAGTCTGACCCCTTTCAAGATAATCAATCATAATCACACCTTTCGAGTCCCAGAATACTGAAGCCATCACCTTATTTGCCGACAAAATCGACTTAGCCTTTTTTAGGGGGTGGTGAACCAGGTCTTCTCCACTGTTTTGATTGTTATTTTGTTTCCGGTGTACAGTAATGAACCCATGTTTCGTGCATAGTAACAAAACGATTCAAAAAATCATCTGCATCGGCTTCAAATAACTCCAAACAGTCGCGTGAAATAGTCAATCGCGTCCTTTTTTGTTCAACTGAAAGCAGTCGCGGAACCCACCTCGCAGACACCTTGTGGAAACCCAACTCGTTGAAAATGATGTTTTGAGTTCGTTCATAAGAGATGCCTATAATCTCGGCTATCTCTCTAATTTTTAATCTGCGGTCTCCCATTATTAAATCAAGTACTTTTTTAATATTTTCGTCAGTAGTTGACGTCGAAGACCTTCCAGAGCGGGGTTCATCTTTCACACTCTCTCTACCACGCTTAAATTCTGCTATCCATTTTTTGACGGATGAATATGACAGAGCACAATCGCCTAATGTACTGACCATGTCATCATGGATGGCTTTTGATGATAGCCCCTTCTTATGGAGGTACTTAATGACGGCACGCTGCTCGATTTGCTCCATTCGCGGAAATTATGTCCGATTACTTTGTTAATAAATTTATAAAATCACAACTAATTATCGCACACGTTTCGAACTTCACACAATAAACTAGTCTGAACTGAACTAAATAATGTGGGTAGATTTGATTTTTAGAATTGAATGGATCTGTGTTAGGCCGAGTACTTTTCAATCCACCCTCGTACTGGAATTGAGACATTTCATCTTAGTCCCCACGGGTGGCAACGCTTCTGCATTTTGATTTGTAATCGAGGATAGATGTAGATGTCTATGGGCTGCAGCAATCACCATGAAGTGGACTGTGTGCTCGTTTCTCACTCTGATTCTATAAAAAATGTGGATTTTAACCAAGTGGCAATAATCGCAAGTCACTCACATTAACCTTTCATAAGTCTACTGCTGAAAATGCCTACGCCAAAAGTCACAAAACACGGCCCAGAGCCACTATCATTGCATAAAATTTTGTGGAGAATGTTTGGCATAGTTGCCACGCTTGGCAACTGCAGTTTTTGAAGTGACAACTTCTTTAGCCACGTTGGGCACTTTTGGGATGGGAAAAAAGCACTGAACACACGTGACTTTCACGTTTTGATACATAAAATTGATGAAAGTAATGGTGAAAATCCAATTGCTTAAATTTTATAAAATTGATATTTATTTATAAATTTGTTTATGTTATTATACATAATAATCATTGTTTTTCAATGTAAAACAGCGCAATAAATGAAAATTTTACGTTTTACGTAATTAATACGCTGATAAAAATAATTTCTAATAAAAATACTTCCTAATATAATATTTCTTAACAACCCACATAGTTTACAAGGTGAAGCTAAGAAGATTTTACTTGTGACGTGCAGTCCTGTGACTGACAGTTTTCGTATTATTCAATTATTGTTATCAATAATATGCTGCTGTTAATTTTTTGGCTCAGTTACTCTCTGTCGATTCATATAACATCCAAAGCCCACTATACGGTAAGTATAGATTGTATACTTCATAATTAATTTCTTCATAGTGAAAACAAAACTAGAATAATTGATACGTTGGCATCCTAAAAGTATATTTCTAGTCGTACAGGGTTCTCAATTAAAAGAAAAGTTTTAACTTTGTAAATTCTGTTGAATAAAACTATTTATTTTATTAATATTAATGTTTCGGGTGCTTTCCATGACGGTAGCTAAACGTGATAAAATCAGTAAAAGTAGTTCTATTCAATGTGTAGTGTTCGCGTGAATATAAGAAATATTTTTTTAAATACTATTTAACTTACATGAAACACAAACTCGTTGGTGTTGCGAGGTATGGGTATTTTCGGAGTGGATTCCCCATTCGCGCCGGATATTGACAGCCAGCAATTGGCGGTAGTCTGGCTGGCTTTCCGCGACGGTACGATCAACACGCGATACGGTAGTTCTGTGATAGTACAAGTGGTAATATTAAAAACTCTGTACAACCGACTACAATATAAATAAAATGAGAATTTTTCAACACCATCTGGATGCTTGGCGGTCCAGCACTGTACGTTTCAAAAGGAGTTTTCTTCCGCGTACGACCGGAAGATTCCGGACCGATACGACCTGGGGACCTTCAAGAAAAGAGCTTACTCATTTCTAAAGGGCCGGCAACGCAACTGCAATTCCCCTGGTGTTGCGATTGATCATTGGCAGCGGTAGTCACTTAACATCAGGTGAGCCGCATGCTCGTTTGCCCCCTCTTCTATAAAAAAAAGAGAACATCATCAATATAGTCGAAGTCAAAAACTACTGGTCAGATTTTGATCAAATTTATATGGAATTACATGAGAAACATCAGCTTTCAAATAAAAAGATAATTATGAAAATCGATTCACTTAGATAAAAGTTTTAAGACAACACATAAAAAATACAGACGAATTGAGTACCTCCTCCTTTTTAGAAGGCGGTTAAAAATAAACTAGTAAATCTATAAAAGGTGAAGCGATGACATGATGATGCCTGACTATGGCTTTCAAACTCCCTTCTAAGTGCATTAAGGTACATATTATCGTGGCGGGTGAACTAAGCCGTGGAGCAGATAACCACGGTGAACTAAGAACCCACATGGTTAGACCCATATGGCCGCTGCGAGTGGACAAGGAGTTATAAAGGAAGAGGAGTAAAGGTATAACGAGGTACCAAGCAGTAAATATCTTTTCTGACGGGTCGATTTTCTATTAAAGTAATAGATTATTCAAAAATGTTAATATTTTATTATTTATTTCCATAAAATCGTCATCATTATTCCAGCTCTTTACAAGTCTAGAGCTGAAAATAGACCTACCCCAAGGGATGTCACAAAGCACGTTCCTAAGTCACCTGAATTCATCGACTTCTTGCATATTTTACTCAACATGTCTTCACTCCATCTAGTGGGGGGAGGCACTACACTTCGCCTAACGGTACGAGGCTGCCACTCGAGAACCTTTTTTCCCTAGTGTCAAGTTTTTATGATTCATTAGAACACTATAGTTTGTAAAGTGGGTTCGTCGCTTGATTATAATTGTTCGTGTGTTTAAGCTTATAGATTTATTTTCAATTCTGAAAAACACTTTCATCTCAGCGATTTACCCCGCATATGAGCAAGACTTATTAGAAAATACAGTTAAGTGGCCAGAGTATGTTTCCTGACGTAAAAAAACACTTAATTGATAGAATCAGGCGTTACTTTGCGGATTAAAATTTAATTCGCAACCATCTGATGGCTGAGGTCAGCCGCCGTAGAATCTACATCGCCTGAGGATGCCTCGTGTAGAGGCGAAACACGTGTCGTATTATCGTCGATGGTGTGTCTTTCCTGGAGTAGTGGTGTTGGGAGTAGTGGTGCCGGGAGTAGTGGTGTTGGGAGTAGTGGTGCTGGGACTAGTGGTGACCGGATAAGTACTCGCAATTGAGGAAGGGCGGGAGGTGCTCTTCAATCCAGGTATGACACATCATTGTATTTAATTAAACATATGGTTGTGAATATAATTTTAATATCTTTAAAAAACACTTACTCGTTGTTGGATAAGTGTTCGTGAAACAATGATAGTCCACCGCGTTCAGTGTAAGTAGATGATACAGGAACTGCTCTCTCTCTTCCTCGCATCGCAAGAACGCTGTCCGTTTATACTGAGAACGTAGTAACGTTGTATCAGCGAGTAACTCCCGCAAATGCTTAGATAACAATTTCTTTTCCAAGGACAGACGTACCCAGGCACGGGCATACCCTATTTCTGTTTTAATGTCTGTCATTGCTTGCACGTTTCTGTAAAAAAAAAGAAAACGAATTTTGTATTAAGTTTAAATTCATTTTTAATAACTATTATTTTTGTCCTGATTCAGATTTATTTGAAGCCTTATTACAAACACAGTAAGGTGCATTTCATGGCAATGAAGGAATGCCAACCTTTTATGTATATGCACTCTGTTCAGTTCAAACAATAATGTGGTTTAAACTTGAGCCATAGTAAAAACAGAATACTAGGATGTCTCTCGCGTGGCGCAAGACTTAAAATCCTACTGTTGCAGGGTTGTCACCGTCTTTTTGTTTTTCTCATTCACACATAAGCACGATTATCTAAAATCTCAAAATTATCTATTAATTTAATTAGAATAGGTAATTTTTAGATTTTCGATAATTGTGCTTACGTATAGGAATTTCATATCCTAATATACCTAATGTAATTTATGTCACTAGATAAGAATCTAAGAAGGGCAGTCATTGATAAATAAAATCTGTTTTGTAAGTTGTTTTTTTAAAAAAAAAAAACACTTTAACACAACAAAAACATGAAACTGAGAAGAAGCATCCGATCTGCCGAAACAAACTTAGAGAGAGGTCAGTTCAGGTATTACATTGGTCATGTCATACGAGAACCAGGCAGGTGGCTAATATGGTCCTTTGAAGAAAGAACCATACAGATGTGAGTGGACAACTAAGTACTTTTTAGGAATCCGTACCCGAAGGGTAACCAACATGGCCATACATAACATAACCAACATATTACGAAGCCTCCGCTGTCCGTGTGTCTGTCTGTCAGCGGGCTGCATCTCATGATCCGTAACAAGTAGATGGTTGTAATTTTCACAGAAAGTGTATTTCTGTTGCCGCTATAACAGCAATTAGTAAAAATAAATTTGAAATTAAAGGATTTTCTACTAGAAAAAGAAACGTCTATGTTTGGCTTTTTTGATCGATAGTAATATATATAAGTATAAATAGATGGTACGGAAGCTCGGAAGTCCGATTCACACTTGGCAAATATTTGTTTATATTTAACCTTACCTCAGACATACTCATATTTTTATATATAATTTACTATACTACTATATAAGCTACTACTAAATAAAATAGTATATAATATCTTTGCTATGGTATTATAGTATATTTTGTCTAATCCAAACTATATAAAAACTAAGGAGCGCATCAACCTACCTCAGATATTGGGTTATGAATACAGATAAGTACACGTAGGATTTAGTTTCTAAGTTGTATCTAGCCCTCTATGCCCCCTAGCCTACAAACGTTTCGTAACGAATCTCTTTCTACAATCGCGCCTTTTATTTGTTTGGACTGACCACCTGACTCGTTCAGTGATGTCATTCCCATACAGTGTTTAGTTTTCAACTAGCGTTATCTATCATAATATAAATCAAAATTTTATTTATATTTCGCTAATTGTGTCTGTACTGTGAATTTGATGTACAATCGATCTCTAAATTGTAGTTTTCTTCTAATTACTTACCTTGTCTAGACGTGTTCTTTGGACTTCTGTAAGGAAGTCTATGCTGTTAGTATTCCGTTTAGGTACGTTACTATTTTGATAGACGTTTGTGCTTGTCCCTGCAGTGACACAATTCCTATTGTTGATAACTTTCTAAGTACTAAGAGAATATTGCAAACCGCTATTGAACACAAACAATCAATAAACAATTTACAAACTAACATTTTTTATTTATTTAATTAACCTACATAAAAGCCCCACTCACATCAGTCGCGCTGTCGAAAAAGCAGTTGTCCTGACACTGGCCGGCATATACTTCGGGGTGTTGCCTGTGGGCTATTATAGCTAACTAGCTATGGTAAGTAAATACCTATTTAGAATACATAGTACCTACAGTAATATTAGCATAACCTACAATAAAATACAAAAACATTAAAAAAAAACATAATTATTTTACACTTTTTTCTGTTTGTTTTAGAAGTCGGTTATATTTTTTTCTCAAAATAAGTTTTTAATGCATCTTTAATTGAGATTTATGTCCCTTTAGTGGGTACAGGCGTGATATTATACTGTGTGGTTGCGTAAAGAATGCATAGATACGCGATAGCAGCAATCGCGGTTGATTTGCTGTCGTTTATTGAAGAGTTCCGTCGATTTCTCCAAGATCCCTTCATCAGATCCTGACCTGACCATCATCGATTACCGTGGGATCATCTGGAAAGTATATTCTTTTAAACAAAAAAAAATAATTTTCCAAAACGGTTCAGGTGTCTTCGAGAAATCGGGGAACAGAAAATACATAAACAAAACCAACGAATTGAGAACCGCCTCCTTTTTTCGAAGTCGGTTAAAATTAAGTAAAACAAATCAATGAAATTATTATAATAACAATATCTACTTAAATTCACATACGAACTTTCATAATAACAACTAAATTGGGTTCATATTATTTACGTTTCACACAGCAAATCCTAAGTTCTAATAACACCAATTCTTTTTTCTTTTTAAAATACGTTACCCCCACAGTAGGATTTTCTCCTGTATCGTGGAGGCAGTTTACAAACATAAATTGCACAAGGACAAACATACAGACCCGGAACAACTATTTGTAGGCCATACAAATACTTGTTCCGTGCGGGATTCGAACCCGCGGCCTCCAGCGCACCCACTCATTGCTAAGCCACTGCGCCACGGAGCTCTCTCAATTACCGTTTGAATTTATGTTGTCATTCAAAGAATCGCATAGGTAGGTACGCGATGACGCCGTCGCACATTGCGTCACTCAGGATTGCGTATGTGTGTGTGCACTAGGTTCTTACTGCTCGTCACAGCGTCTATCCCTTTCGCACGTGATGTCGCCTGAGATAGCATGCGTTTTAACCCAGCCCACCATATAGTTCATGCCATCGACTAGGGCAACCTTAACAGCTAAGTGTCATTTAGTTTTATAAGTAGTTATAATATTTACAAACAATACATACGGATACGTACCATTTCTTCTCAGTTTTCTCTAAAAGAATCAACGTTTGTCAAAGAAAAAATTCCAGCTTTACATTGTAACAAATGCCAAATGACTAAAATAGGAGTAAATTGCCACTGAGCATATGGTGTCTATCAGTTCAGATTTAATGTTTAAAATTAATTTCATGTGATGTGATATGATAATTAATGTACTTATGAGTTATGAGTAGTGATCGGATAATCAGATGCATATTTACCTAAAGTTTATTTTTGGCTAAGAAATTATGAAAGCGGCTTCTTAAAACATATTTATTAAAATATAATCCCAGGATTACAGAAAATACGAGAATGCGAAAATAGTCTGTATCACGGTGAGGAAACGTCGTCTATAGCATGTAGTATTTATTTAAAAAAAAAAAACAGGGGAATTACATAAATATTAATGTGTATTTACTTGAAGTAAATTTTAAGCTCCCATCAATTTATGAGCATGTTGAGTATAAGAGGAATAGTAGGTAGTGGGTGTTAATTTAAAAAAAAATTACAGGAAGTTATTATTTCTAGTTTTTTTTTTATATAGAATAGTTAAAATAAGTAAATATACCTACACCCGATTTGATTCTATTATAAAAACAGTAAATTTGTCGATTCCGAAATCCCGAGATTTTTTCGATACGTAAGTGCATTCCATATTATCCAACACCTACACTTTAGGTAAATATGCATCCGATTATCCGATCACTAGTTATGAGGTATTTATTTATGTATAGATATAGTAATATAACATATTAATAAAAAGATAATTTACTTAAACAAACCCATATATTAATTTATTTTACAAAAAAAAAAAGAAAAAAGACTGCTAGCAAAATTTTAAATAAAATTTTCAAACAAAGGTAATTGCGGAGCGCGCCTGTGGCCGTCCCCGACTCGGCCAGACCTTTCCAACTTAGAAAGTGTCGTTGTGTGCGTGCTATGGCTCGTACGTACAAGTCCGTACTGTTACGTGCCAGGCACGCACACGTGTTAGCGGCGTACACTTTTTAGAAGATAGCCTACTATTCTGTTTTTACTTTGCTTGAGAGAAGTGAAAATATGTGAAATATAACTTTATGGCATTACTGTAGTATTATATAATATTTATACAATTAACCTAAAATATTAAATTAATAAATGATTAATATATATTATTGACGATTCGTTGGTGGAGTGACTAAGCGACTTGACGTGCTTTTTAACCTTCACTAACTAACTTTGTTGTATAATTTTCCTTACCGTATATAGTTCCTTACCGCATGTCAAACGTAAGACTTTCAGGCAGAGGACGCATTGGATTCGGCGGCTGATTGGACTTTCGTTCTAAAGTTCCGGAGTTGCTGAGGCGATCGCGGGAACTATCCCTGGATCCGCCGCGGGAACTGTCTCGCGACCGACTGCTACTACTGCTACTCTGTTGCGCTTCTACCTCTGCGCCCACTGATGATAAGTCTAGGAACGGCAAATTTACTTTATATATATATATATATATATATATATATATATGTGTGTATATATATATATATATATATATATATATATATATATATATATATATATATAAACTTAATGAATGATTAAAATTCGATATAGTAATTTCTTCTTTTAAATTATGGCTTCTATTGATAGAATTCTGCTAGGATATGGTAAATGAACATTCGTGTATTTTATAACGCTCTATCTGTATTAAATATGTCATACGGTAATGCTCAAGTCAACACAAGTTACTAAACTACAAAATACAGATTATATTTAAATTATTATTCATTTGGTTTTTATAATTATCGATATGAACGATAAAAACTGATCATCAAATAAAATGTGGCTTTGTGTTCTGTAATGTAAATGTGGTTAACTCATACTATGTAACATTTTTATCAATCCCATTTCCATTTTCGAATTTTAAATTTTATTTATGAGATAAGTTAGTTCTCACTCTGGGATCCTCAAAAACATGGTATTTGTCTTGGTATTCACTATCACTAAATTTATAACTCTTTTAATATGGCTTTTTTGAGTTAGCATTAAATACCTTATTGCATTTTTTGTGATACTTACAATCCAACCGTTTCCGTAACACACACCAGGCCAAAGCTGCATTTTACAAAATAAAAGAGGTTTATGCTTCATTTTAATATTCCTATGATTAAAAAATGTTTACAATAAACGAATACAAAGTCTACCTAATGGTAAAATCATCCATAGACACCTACATCTATCCTCTATTAGGAATCAAGATGCAGATACGTTGTCACCCATGAAGAATAAGATAGAATATCTTGTTACCAGTGAAAATGATCTCCAGTTTTCTTCACTTATATGAAAAACAATAGCATTACGCTAATATTTTAAGCTGGTATTCAATGAGAGCATGGTCCTTCTCCGGTCAAGCCGACCATACGCGTCACAACCATAATATAGTTGCCGCGCAGCTCTACCATTTTAACCCACACAACATGATTCAATATTTGTAAGAAAACACGATTGTATAAGGAAATAATATTTTTTGTAAATAAACATCAGCACATAGAAATGACGGATCTAAATAAAAACATCATTCACACAGTAGGGATAACCAGTGGTATATCGAGAATTTCCCGTAATCGCCAAGCTATTATGTATTTCAGATTATATCTGGACCTGGTGCTAAAAGGGCCAAAGTACGTTTTTTTAAAATGAGATTTTAAAGCCATATTATTGAAAATTATGAAATTTGTTTGTGCTAAAAGGGCGTACTTTTATTGATAGTCTTTCGAAAGATACTATGTAAAAACAGGCCATTGTAATGTTTACTTTCATACTGTTTAATAAAATAAAATATCTGCTTCTGTACAATACTGTAATGTTTAATAAAAACGTACTTTGGCCCTTTTAGCATTAGGTCACAGACATAATCAAGGTTCTAGAGTCGCAGCCTCGTAACGGTAAACGAAGTGTAACCCCACACTAGATCGGTATCTGGTAAAAGATGCAGAAAGTCGATGGATACGGGTGGAGGATGGAGGCCTGTGGTCACCAGTCGAGTTATGATGGGCTGCTGACATATCATAACGATAAGTTCATTCACCAGTTCGCCACCAGTCAAATCATTAAGAAGTGATGAAAAGAATACCAAAGTTTTCATACATACCAGGAGTTAGATAATTAGGATCGATTGGTTTAGTCGAATTGCTACACTGCTCCAACTCTTGGTAGTTTGTGAGATGCATCCAAAGCGCAGATTTGCCCATCTTGTGTTGAAGACCATGTGACCAAAGTCTCTCAAGCAGATCACAAAGGGAAGCGATCATAGTGTTTTCTTCGACGCCCGTCACAGACACTTCGCACCCGAGGCCCAAATCCGATTCCTCAGTTCCCATTTTTTCAACGAGCATACGTTTTGTTTTGCTTTTGCACTCCTGTATGTTACACAAAATATATACAGAATAAACAAAAGTACGTGAATGTAGTAAAATATTCTGCCAAATAAAGAAAAAAAGGTGGCAAGTGAGCAGCGGTTCTACTACATGAGTAAAGAAACCGACCAAAGGGGAAGCACAGCACACATAGCGCAGCGATGTGTGCGTTAGCTCTCACCGACAGGTTCACCGACGCTCCGTCGGGGTACAAACCGGTTCGCGCCGACTCAGTCAGAGTATGCATGAAAGGGTTGTTAGTCGTACGCATTTAAATAAATAGACCAACAATATTTAGAAATTTTTTATATTAATTAATTTATTAAGTTTAGTAAATAATCTGATTTATTTTAATTAAAATAATTAGTTACTATACATTCATATAGGCAAAGTAACAAGTTTTCTATATAGGCAAAAATGCCTAATAGTTGTACAGTATGCATGAATAATTCCAGAGAAAATAAGGACATTTACTTATTTTTGTATTCTAGAGATCAAGTGAAGAAGTACCTTTTTACGTATTATAGGTAAGTGAGAATGATGTGTTAGACAGGTATGTCGCCGAGTGATGAAGTCGGTCTCAACTACTATATAAACATACATGTTGTTTTATACTACATAATATATTCATTTTTTCCTTAAATTCACATGCATCATGTGACAACCCTATTAGAATAGGTAAATATTTTCGACGTTGTTAGGAAGCTTCCCGTCTGGTCCTTACTCTTTACTCTGTGGTTCTACTAATGATAAGTGAACCATAGGCCGTGCCTTGCTAACATTCATATCTGATATTTTGTTACCACTTTTATCCATGCATGCTGGCTTCTCTTTTTTAGCCGACTTCATAAAAGGAGGTAATGGGGCGTCCATTATTTACGTGATATGATTTTCACGATTTTCCTTCCCTCTCCCTCCCTATTGTGAGATGTAGTGAAATATGGCTCGACACTCTCCCCCAAATCACACATGTAAATACGTAAATTTGTGTGTGATTGCGTTGGGTTTATTTAAAAAAATATTTTTATATAATTTGTGGAGTTCGATTGACTGCGACAAATATTATTGTATAGGATTTAGCCATATTTTACATATTTAAACCCATTTTTCTCGAAATGTTACACTGTTTCTTGCGGAAAAAATTACGTGATAATTGCTCACGTAATTAATGGACGCCCCCTAACAAATCGACTGTGTTTTTGCTTATTATTTTTTGTATCTAAGTTTCGCGATAGCTTGTACAATTGTGAACAGATTTTGATAATTCTTTTATTCACTAAATAGGTCATACTTTATCAGTGGTAGAGCCACGCGGCAGCTTTGCTGTTGCACGTATGGGCCGGCTCAAACCGGGGTGGTACCACGACCTCACAGAATACCGGCGTGAAGTGGAAGCTCTGCTTCCGCGTTTCAACTGGTGAGTGTAGGTGGCTAGAGGCCCGAATTCTCCCCCCCCCCAATCAACATGGTAGCGGAATTAAATGATAGACTACCCCAGGAGGTTACCAGCACCCCTGGAGAATCCCTCGCTGAGCATCCACGACCATGTTTCTCCACTCCTGAGCGTGGGCGCTAAGGCTGCCCCGCGTATTCTGGGGGGTGGGGGGGGGGGGGCATAATTCCGCTCAAGACTACGACCACCAAGGCACCCCTGCCACGCTATCCGTGAATTTCTGCAATATCAGGGGACTTCACTCTAACCTACACGCAGTCCACTACCATCTCGAGACGGCGAGGTCGGCTCTGCTCTTTCTGACCGAGACGCAGGTGTCCTCTCCGGCTGATGTCTCGTATCTCTACTACCCGGGGTACAAACTGGAACACTCCTTTGTGCTTCGGGCTGGAGTTTGCGTTTACGTCAGAGAGGACATCTGTTCTCGACGCCTCGGCAGTCTTGAAGGTTTGGATCTGTCCATCCTTTGGCTACGCGTTGATAGCGACGACTATCCGCGCGTCTACGGGTGCCTCTATAGGTCCCATAGCGGTAATGCCGAAACAGACCAACTCTTCGACCACGTCCAAATGGCTACAGATTCGTTGCTACAGCAGATCCCCTCCGCAGAGATCGTGATTCTCGGCGACTTTAACGCCCATCACGCCGAATGGCTTGGTTCACGTTTGACCGATCATGCGGGGAGATCCGTTCATGATTTTGCCCTGGCATATGATCTGACACAACTGGTTACTTCGCCTACCCGGATTAGTGTGGAGGATCATGCACCTTCCCTGTTGGACCTTCTGCTGACCTCTCACCCGGACGGATATCAGATTTCCGTCGACGCCCCTTTAGGCTCCTCGGACCATTGTCCGGAGTGTGGTGCCACTCACGCTGAAATCGCAGTTGCATTCTGCAGGCTGCCGCCGTGTTTGGCACTATAGGTCAGCCGATTGGGATGGGATGCGGTCTTTCTATGCATCTTACCCTTGGGGGCGGGTTTGCTTCTCGCTGGACGATCCCAACGTTGTTGCGGATTCTGTCGCTGATGTGGTACTTCAGGGTATGGAACTTTTTATTCCTTCCTCTGTGGTGCCCATTGCTGTCCAGGGGAATTTCTGTCAGCCATCTCTTCCATTTCTGCACAGGGAGGAATTCTCACTGGCCCATACCGCAAAGGAGAAAGATGATCTGCTAGGCTCTTTCTTTGCGTCCAACTCTACTCTCGAAGACGGGGGGAGTACGCCGCCGACCATTCCGCGGTGTGAGTGCTCCATGCCGGCAGTGCAGTTCACACAGCGCTCGGTTCGTAAAGCACTCCTCTCCCTGGACATCCACAAGTCGAGTGGGCCTGACGGAATCCCCCCAATCGTGCTGAGGACGTGTGCTCCAGAGTTGGCATAGTCCCGAAATCATGGAAGACGGCTTTCGTCCATCCGATCCCTAAAAAAGGCGACCGCTCAGACCCGTCCAACTACCGGCCTATCGCCATCACACCCTTGTTCTCCAAAACAATGGAGTCCATTGTTAACTGCCAGCTCATGAGGTACCTTGAGGGTCACCAGCTGATTAGTGATCGCCAATACGGTTTTCGCCGTGGTCGGTTAGCTGGTGATCTTCTGGTCTACCTAACTCACAGATGGGCTGAGGCAGTAGAGTCCAACGGGGAGGCTTTGGCCGTTAGTTTGGACATTGCGAAGGCCTTCGATCGGGTTTGGCACAAAGCGTTTCTTTCGAAGCTCCCTTTCTATGGGCTTCCCGAGAAATTGTGCGATTGGATCACCAGCTTTCTTGCAGATCGTAGCATCAAGGTCGTTATAGACGGTGCTAACTCCGATTACAAGCCTATTAACGCTGGTGTTCCACAAGGCTGCGTGCTATCGCGAACGCTGTTTCTTCTGCATGTCAATGATATGTTGCAAACCCGTAACATTCACTGCTATGCAAATGACAGCACTGGTGATGCTCTGTACACCGACCGTGCCAATATTTCTTGGGAAAAAAACTCCGAGTACCGGGACAAACTGGTGTCTGAAGTCGAGTCTCTACTGAACAGTCTCGGATTGGGGGCGACTAAATCTAGTCCAGTTTAACCCCCAGAAGACACAAGTTTGCGCGTTAACCACTAAAACTTTGTGTATTTAGTAAGGCACCCCCTTGTTGCCTCAGCCAGTATCGGAATCCTCGGCGTCGACATATCGTGTGACGTGCAGTTCCGTGGTCACTTGGAAGAGAAGGCCAAATTGGCCACAAAAAAGCTTGGCGTGCTCAGCAGAGTATTTCATGCCGGCACACCGCCTGCAACTTTACAAGGCGCAGGTTCGGCCGCACATGGAATACTGTTCCCATCTCTGGGCTGGGGCTCCCCAGTACCAGCTCCGTCCACTTGACCGCATCCAGCGCAGAGCGGCTCGAATCGTCAACGACCGAGTGCATTCCTATCGGCTCGATTATTCACTGGCGCTGCGAAGAGATGTTGCATCTCTTTGCATTTTCTTTCGCATATACCATGGGGAGTGCTCTGAGGAATTGTTCGGATTAATCCCAGCCGCCAAATTTCGTGAACGCACTACGCGGCAAATGTCCCGATACCATCCACACCATCTGGATGCTTGGCCGTCCACCACTGTACGTTTCAAAAGGAATTTTCTTCCGCGTACGACCTCTCTGTGGAATAGTTTACCACCGGCGATTTTCCCGGAACGATACGACTGGGGACCTTCAAGAAAAGAGCTTACCCCTTTCTAAAGGGCCGGCAACGCACCTGCAATTCCCCTGGTGTTGCGGTTGATCATGGGCGGCGGTAGTCACTTAACATCAGGTGAGTCGCATGCTCGTTTGCCCCCTCCTCTATAAAAAAAATACTTCAGGGGTGGTCGGATACTTACTATAAATTAGGATGAAAAACTCTACCCCAAAGGTGACAAAAATTTAGCGGTGTATACTTGATATGATTTTTGTTTTTTTTTTCCAAATTTAAATTCTGGCCAGATTTTTTTTTATCCCCCATTTTTTTTTTACCCTTATTTTTGTGAGTGTATTATAAGGAGAAAAGATTGTTTTGTTTGTACCAAATAAGCCCGGAAAGTGGCAATGGGCCGGCCATATAGCTCGAAGAACCGACAACCGTTGGGGAAAAAAAATTCTCAAGTGGCAGTCTCGTACCGGTAGGCGCAGTGTAGGGCGACCCCCCCCCCCCCGCTAGATGGAGTGACGACCTGGTAAGACATGCAGAAAGTCGATGGATGCAGGTGGCTCAGGGTCGTGCTTTGTGGCATACCTTGGAGGAGGCCTATGTTCAGCAGTGGACTTGTGAAAGGCTGTAATGATGATGATGAAATAAGCCCGGAAACAATTGGAACCGATTCTAGCATTTTTTTTAATCGACTTCCAAAAGTAGGTTGTACTCAATTCGACTATGTTTTTTAATGTGTGTTACCTCAAAACTCTTTTCTCCATAAGCGGTCTGCGGATTTAACTTCCGACACAAACAAGATGGTTGTAAAAACAATTATCTGTATCGCAGCTATAGAATTTTTCTTGCATTTCCCATACTCGTCTCTTAGGACATCACGAAACGAAATTAGGTAATGAACACTCTTACTCAGCCTCCACACGGCACACACTTTTACTAGCGGTCGTATTTTTAGATCATTATTTAAAATACATAAATACCTTGAGAAGTTTCTCGACGAAAGTTCTATTATTTTGAGCAATGGCTGCAGGCGTGACTTCAGTCGATAAACGCCTACCGATGTCACCAAGTAACATTTCAGGCGGGCAGTCTTTCACTTGCCACTTAGCGTTCTTAATGCGTTTTAAGCTGTTGGTTCTGAAACATACAATTAAATGATGTCTCCTACATTTTCACTTTTTTATTCTACTAATTTTTTCTTTTAATTCTACCAAAACTCTAACGAAGCACATAAAGCAAAAGCGATTTGAATGACATGTAGTCATCGTCAGTAAGTACCTGATTTTCATATGTGCTAAGTTGTATAACTAATTGAAGTTACGTAACAGTATTTTTGTGCTCAATTTTATTTAAAAAAAAAATGAATTTATTTTGTACAGATATTTAAAATGTTGAACTGTTTTCAATACTATTAGTTATAATAAAAATGTATTTTTTTTAATTTATAAAAAAGTACTACAAGCTTAACTCGACTATAAATCATTTAAGGTTAATTCTATACTTTTAGTGAGAAATTATTTTATATTTGTATTTATATAATTGATTTCTCGGGAATCGCTCTAACGATTTGTATAAAATTTTGTATTTACATCATGTTTTACTTCATAAGTTTTTCTAGATAGGTTTCATTCCTGAGAGAATTATACAAATGTTCTAACGCCGAGCAAAGCTCGATCGCCAGGTACTATGTATGTATATAAAATGTAACTAACTCTTCGGAAATGGCTCTATCGAATTATCTAGATGAATTCATACTTTCCAAGGTTATCTAAACAGGTTTCATCCCTGATAAAATTATATTATTTTTCTAACACCGGTCTACCCAGGTAATGTGATACATTTAAAAACCAAAATAATAACTTAAATTGTTTATTTGTAAAATATAAAGTTATTCAATAAATTGAAATACATTAAATATCTTTTATATAATCACTTTTTAAATAAATATAGTTTTTTGTTAAATATACATTCACATTTAAATCTAAAAATATTATGCTTCCAAAATAGTTTCAATTTTGAAAAATGTGATAAAACAAAAATTACCATGCTTATCAATTTTACAATATCATTTACGGTAATTATAAAATAATTAAATGCATGCAATGATAGTGAAACCTGCACTTATTGAAATTATTATAAAATTAAAATTATTTTTATCTCTAATCGAATGTAAAATGTATTAAGAATAATATCTTTTGAACAAAAAAAAGTATTATAAGTATATTAATATTTGATGCGGACAACAAGGTAACATTTATGATTTTCGCAGTACAAGTTTCGTAACATAAAAATAACTACAACATATGAGTTTAACCAAGAAATAACAGTGAAACGAAGTTATGCCAACAAAAATGACTTACTAGTTACATGGAGGGTCTTCATCTAATACACAAAGCAATAATAGTAAAATAATTATATATCTCTAGTTGAGTAATTGGTCAAATATAAACCTTTTAAAGTAAACTGTTAAATAATTTCGTGTATTAAATTAAAAACCACATGTACAACACATGCATACAAACACAGGTACACATGCTGCCACTACAATCATGCATTAAAATCACAACATGGAAGCATAGCATGGTTTTTAAACCCTTGTTTTATTAATTTACCTTATAACAAAGAAGATGAGATTCATTTCACATAGCAAATCACAAATAACTTTTAGTAAATCCAAATGTGAATGCCTTAAGCGCTCATGTTATTCGTCAATTTTTTTAAGTATTTTAAATACACGCAAGTTTTTACTAATAACCTTATCTTCGTAGTTCGATTCGATTTTTTTTTCGTTTAAATACTCCCTTTTTAATCTTGCGCGCCTCGACGCGTGCCTAGTTTGCCTTAAGAATAATCCGCCACTGTCCGGAGGTAAGGTCTCATCATAACTAACAAAACGAGCCCAAACTCAGCACAGCTATTACTATTACTACACTTCGAGGAGATCCAGTTGCATCGACCGAAGTATACCACCTTCAGGTCACTCCGTCAAGTCCAGGTATAAGGTATCATAATAACTAACATAACGAGCACAATCTCGGCACACCCAGTTGTACTCGTCGAGGATTTCCAGTAGCAGATACCGAAGTACACCTTCAGGTCACTCCATAAAATCCAGGCGTATAAGTATATTTATATATAAATTCTACGTAGTTTTAGCGAAACAATATATTATAATAAAAATCTGTGATTATAAAAATAATATTAATATCTTACCTCGGTCAAGAAGACTATATATCAAATTTGGTTTTTGGAATATTTTGTATTTCTACAGCGATCGATATTTTTCATCACGAGCCGCTGTAAACAAACGATTCAATGATCCACTCAGAACGGCGGCCGAGCCCGAAATGAGAATGAGTCAAAGTATATCTATTTCTCAGCAGAAGAAAATTAAATATAACTAAACAAAGGAAAATTAAACTGACATTAACTTTTCACGGCTTCCCACATGATAGATGCAGGGATTAAAAAATAGATTGAGTTGAACAATTGCTATTTTCAAAAGTTATCGTATTTACCCCTCCCTGCGGACTCTATAAATCTACACCATACGTCACTAAAACCACTTTTTAATGTAAAAATAACAATTAATCGTTTTTTTTATAAAAAATAATAAGCTCAACAATCATTTATCTTTTTGGCAATGTGCTTTTCATACCTTTTATATGTTTAATATGATTGTTAGATACGATTTCATGCGACAAAACATCGGATTCTTTTAGGCGCTAGAAGAACATACTTACGCGCTTTGCGCTTAAGGCATGCAATGATGACTTTATTTATAGTTACTTTTCAAGTATCAAAATCAATTTTTTCTCATTGAATTCTATTTTTAAATAGTACGAAATGACACATAGTAAGTTTTTTGATTCTTTCGAACAAGACAAGATAAAAGAGATTCTGATATAACACAAAACATAAAGTACCTCCATATGTACTAAAAATTAACATAATATAAACCTTAAACTAAAATCACTTATATGCATTTTTTTTGTAAAACAATAACTTAATATGAAAAGAAAAATTAAATATATCTGGCTGTTTTAGTAAACAACTAAAGGACAATGGCGAATTCTCAAAAAAAATTTTGTTGACATTTTTTTCTTGCGTCTACAAATACAAAATATACAAAAATGTAGAGTTTGAAATCCTGAACATTTTTCTCTTCGGTTATACTACTGCAGAAAGTCAGGAATTAAAGATATTCCAGTTTAACAAAAGTCACATCAGATTAGGCTGTATGGTATAAAACGCCTTAATAAGCAAATCGTTACAACAATAACTACTCAATATAATTTTCATATATATTTATATATGGTAATTACTTGCATAGAGGGAACGCTTAAAGAACGTATTAGGGTATATAGAAGAGTTTTCTGAAGAAAATATATGTCAAACTCGGCTGTATGGTATAAAACCTTTGCCTGTCTTAACTGACGAATCGTTACAACTACAACTAGTCAATTAAGTTTTGAATTGTTTATGATGATTTTTCCAGAATTCGATAGGCTATAAGCTTGATTAAACATAGTAAATTATTTTATTGATATCTGTAAAGTGACATAAGTAGACGCTAAATAATTCCACCAACTATTATTTCGCCATTGTCCTTTTAAAAAAATCATTAGCTCCATATTTTAAAAATATAGTTATAGAGTATTTCTTAATAACATAAAATATTAATTAATTCAAAATGTTCGAATTGGCAACTGAAAAATACTTTTCATTATACTGTGATTTTTTTACCGAAAAAGTATGGTGTAACAGGTGAATGGAATAGAAGCCTATGGCACTGATATTTTAATTTTTTTTTCTTTTACCTATTATGAAACGATCGTATTATCTTAAATTCGATAGTTTTTAAAGGATTTATTTATTTAGTTCAAAATTTTTGTTTTTATTTTTTTAGTACACCGAAAGTTTATTTCAAATTTGTTGTATTTATCGATAGATCAATTTCATAATGTGTTAATGTAAAAGCAAAAAAAATGTAAAATATCAGTGCCATAGGCTTCTAGTCCATTCACCTATTACACCCTATTTTTATCTAGACGGTAAAAAAATCATCCAGTATAGAATGTCTCTTCTATAACGGGAAGTCTAATGTAATCGATATACTTAATTTAAATTGCTGTAGCTTTTAAACTTAACTATCTATAAATGTCTATAATACTTTCAGAGCGTAGCATCACTGTTCATTATATAACTGTCAGCACCATTTTTACTTTCTACGGGTATAAAAGCAAAACGAAGTACACGCCAGCGTATTTGATACTTAGCGTGCAACAATTTCAACTAACTATAAATTAAAACTCATCAGCCAAGAACAAAATTAAACACACAACACAAGCGCTTATTACATCACAAATCACTTTGAGTAGGAATAACCGTATTGTGTCGCCAGTTTTTTAACACTTTATTAAAGAGACTGTTTATTTTTAAGGAACAAATAAAATTTTTAATAAAAAACGTTTTTGGCTAAAGTTAAATATAGTAAAATTAATGTCGACTCTTGTAAGTTCAACTTTAACTATCACATCAACACTTAGAATTCTTTAAAAGTAGATTTAGCTACAAACGTACAAAACTATAAAACAGTATTTACTAATGTCTCTATAATGCAGAAATAAACGATAAGGCACTGATAAATAATATTCTGCACAATTAACAAACACTTTTGAGTACATATTTCCGGACAATTTTCGTAAGGCAAGTATGCGCGGATTATTTAACTGTTTATTTGATTGTGTACTCAGAAGTTGTATGATGCTTCCACCTGCGCTGATTACTAAATGAAAAACTAACATCTAAGGTAGCGAGATTAAGATTACCAACCCCAAATACCCTACCTACCACCGAACGGGCCTAACAGGCATAGAATAGAACATTTAATGCGAAGGTGAAAATCAGAACGGTAATCATCTGTACCGTTTACTATGTGCGTACGATAAGAATGGAATTACGATTTAAGAACTTCCTTCTATGTTATTTATATACTGTCAACAAAAATAATATAGCAGCATAGTGAAAGTAGTAGTTGCACCGTGTTAACTATGACGCACCGGGATATTAAAGTCGTAGTGGCTAAATTTCAAACTTACTATCTGACGGAACAGGCAAAATAATGCGACACAATCAAGTTAATAGCAATTGAAATTAAAATATAACAACGTAATGCGACAAAATAAATTACCAATTGAAAATAAAATATGAATATATAACAGATGAATTTCTTAAGAGAATAACCGGGCTGTGTTAAGTCCATACAAAAGTATGTATTTCTCTGTTTCCTCTCTGCATAATGACACATGAGCAAATATTTTCTTACAATACATTCTGCATCTAAAGCACTGCCTGGTTTTTTTTTTCATAATATAACTTACAGATTTGAAAACTAGGAAGCAATCTTCTAAAGTTACTAATACTGCACAGTTATTAGACATCCGGCAAGCAAAAGACAATGGCGAACTCTCCCAAACAAATTTTTGTTGACATTTTTTACTTGCGTCTACAAATGAAAAATAAGTAAAAATATAGTGATTATAATATTGAACAATTTTTTCTTCAGCCAGACTACTGCAGGAAGTCACGAATTAAAGAATATTCTAGTTTGTTCAAAATTCACATCAGACTACGCTTTATGGTACAAGACTTTTGCTTGCCTTAATTGGTAAATCGTTACAACAACAACTAGTCAATATAATTTTCAATTATGATTATATAGAATAATAACTAGCAAAGAGGAAATTCTAAAATAACGCATAAATATATTGAGAAGAGTTATGTGAATAAAATACACATCAGACTAGGCTGTATGGTATGGTGTAAGGCCTTTGCCTGCCTTAATTGTCGGATAGTAACAACTACAACTAAGGTTGATTAGATAACACATAGTAAATTACTTTATTGATATTTGTAATGGTGGCATAAGTAGTAGACGCTTAATAATTCCATCAATAATTTGCCACATCAACTAGCCAATTTAGTTTTAAATTAGGTATGTTGGTTTATTCCAGACTTCGATAGGCCATAAGCTTGATTAGATAAAAAATAGTAAATTATTTTATTGATATCTCTGAAGGTGACATAAGTAGACGCTTAACAGTTCCATCAACAAAGTTTTCGCCATTGTCCTTTACCGTACGCAAAAAATCAAACAAATACATATAGCTATAGTCACAAACCACAATACTTCTTATGTTTTAAAACAAAAAAAAATCGGTGTAGTTACGGAGGAGTAAACAGGGGAATACGCAATGAATATTCTGACAATTTTTCATAGGTATCATCAGTCCGAGCTACATTTGTAACTCGGTTATCTTTCGGTTGTCAATTTAACACGTTCGGACATAGTGCGCCACCAACAGATCGATAACCTATTCTTCAAATTTCTTGCAGTCCCGATATCCTCTTAACTTGCTTTTTTTGCGCACCCCACACTACATTAGACGTAAGTAGGCATAGGGGCATAGGGCAAAGGGATATATATCAGTTAGATAGGCCCGTTCTTACGTGCGCGTACAGTATATGACTAAGTCTATGAGTAAGGTTTGCAGAGGTCAAGATGGGTCGGAGTGTGTGTTCGCGTCGCACCTGCGGTCGCTGGCGGGCGGTGGGGCCAGCGCAGCGGCGTCGAGGCGCGCGGGGAACGCGCGGTAGTATGCGGCGCGGTGCGGCAGCCGCTCGCCCGGCGCGCCCACCTCCAGCTCGGCACCCGCCCCCGCCCCCGCACCTACCCCCGCGCACCCGCCGGCCCACACGCTGTACCCACGCGTCGCTAGCCCCCCCTCACCTAAGCGACGCCTGAAACAACACTCGCTTTTACTATGGGTCCTTCGCACCCATAGCTAGTCTTATAATATCATTTTGTTTCAATCTTTTGAAGTAAAATCTTCTTAAGGCACGTTGGGCACTTTTGCGACGGGGAGAAAGTACTGAACTAGCGTGACCATCACGCTCACACACGCACAATCGCGCGCAACGCACTATTATTTATAGTCCGAAAATACGAGTATACTTCAATATAATATATATTGAAGTATACTAAAAGACCACACAAGTAGTAGGTATCAATTGTTATATTTTTTTTTGATAAGTGAAAAGAATCTCGAGAAAAGGAACACTGGGATATTTATCGCATGGAAACAATGTTATACCTTAACTTAGCCTAATAGAAAATACTATATAACTATAGTCAACCAAATCTAAGAAATACATTTTGACAGCTGTCAGACTTATTGCACCAGGCATGCCAACCAAAAAATGGGAACGTACAATATTCGATTCTTAAAAAAAACGATATCGATTATTTGGAGTTGGTAATCATTTACAGTGTGGTTTGAACTACCAGAATAACTTAAAAACGGATAATTTAAAACACAAGATTTATCAGTTTCTACGTATTTGTTGTACTAGGTACTGCTTATTTCTAGAGAGGCACAGTTATAAAAATTTAAGATTTTAAGTAAATTAAAAATAAATTTATTCAATCACTTTCAGAACAACTAGTTGAACTGTCGTTGTTTGATTTTCAATATTAACTTCAGTCAAAATTAATGTCTCTTTCAAAGTCAGCCATAATAAAAAAAAATGTTTTTTCTACTACTTTTGCCCAATGATCCTTTGTGAAATCGGCACATGCTTCAACGAATATTGAAGAAACAGTCCAAAAAGCTAAAGCCGAGTCACAAAATAAGAAGACAAACACAATATAAAAAAAATACGCACAGTAAGTTCCCGAAAAGGCGTCATATTGAAATTACGTAGTGGTTTTTATATCGCGGCCTTGTATACGCGTTTTTTGCCTACATAAATTTACGTTGAAAATTTAAAAAAAAAACTTGTTTTATACATGATTCATGTAATTTTTGGAATTTTAAAAATTAAATTAAACAAATTATACATCAAAAAAATTAATTATTCGATTATTTTTACCGATTATTAGAATATTTTTGCCGATTATTCGCATAACAATTAATTTTAATCATCCAAGCACTACGGTAATGTACATAGCGACATATCAATGAAACGACGTCAAGTACAAAAAGTTGATACTGGTTATTATTTAATATTTTGCTTTCTTTGAAAGATTCAAATTTAAATTTATGATAAAAAACTATACACGTGTAATGAAATATAAATAACTATAACTCGGACAAAGGTTATTTTATGTTGGGCTGTGTTTGTTTGAAGGTATTTCTTAGATTTGGTTGACTGTAAATAGCCTCCAAATGGTGAAGTTATTAAATAACTTTATTATTGTTTTTACAAAGAATATTTTGTTTATGTCATATCTAAAAGTCGTAAAGCCAATACGCCTAGTTTTAGCCAATATCTAGTTATTGGCGATTGCAGTTGGTAAAAATTAAAAGTAATCGATTTATTCATAATACGGGTCATTCCATAAGAAATAATATGTAATAGGTATATTTTGAATTAATGATTTCTTATATTTACGCGAACACTACACATTGATTAAAACAACTTTTACGGATTTTATCGCGTTTAATTTTAATTATTTTTAATTCATGACAGTCATCTCAGTCCCCCGTGACCATGGGTGCTGGAAAGCACCCCAAACGTCGGGAATTAAAAATAATTAAAATTAAACACAATAAAATCCGTAAAAGTGTTTTAATCAATATTTTGATTTACTTAGAAATTGACTGTTTTTCACTGACATATCATTTTTTTAAAACTTTTTCACATAAAATTCAAATATACAATGTTCATTACTAGATATAATAAAATATCAAATTGTATCAATAAATATTTACTACTAATTTGATGTACATTTTTTACCTACGTAGTTTGATGATAACAACAAATTCATTGAAAGTGCACCCTTCGCATGTTTTGAATTTCATTCTTTTAAATGCTTATTTATTTATTCATAAATATAGCTACCATAAAAATATCAATTTCAAAGACTTCTACTTCGTTCATCTACTACACTCTCATGGTATAAAAGTCAGCCAGTGTTGCGTTCTATAAATCGAAGTCACAAATGACCCGGGTCCATCAAGTTTGAATTTGAACGGACGAGCATAATCGATCATAACGGTTCAATATTTAACAATATTATAATAAAACGTTACACAGTTAGTTCTTTGCCTTTTAAGGCGTTACGTTGCGGAAATCCATTACATTAAAGATATTAAAATATAGTAGCAAAGAACCGCGTAATAAAATAAAAAAATAAAATGGTTTATCTTACCTAGCCTGAAGAGCACCTCCCGCCCTGCCCAAATTGCGTGCACTATCCCCGTCACCACTAATCCCAACAATACTACACCAGGAAAGACAAACCACAGTCGCCAATATGACACGTGTTTCGCCTCTAAACGGGGCATCCTCAGGTGAAGTACACTTTTTTATAGAATAAGGCTGGCAAACGAGCACACAGTCCACCTGACGGTAACTGCATGCTGTTGCCCATAGACATCTACATTTATCTTTAATTAAGAATCAAAATGCAGATGCGTTGTCACCGCTGAGGAATGAGATGGAAAGCTTCGTTTCCAGTAAAGAGGGATTCTGGTTCTTTACACTCACCATACGAAACGCAGTAGTTTTAAGATTCTAATTTTACGCTGGTATTCTGTGAGAGTGTGGACCTACCCCGGCCGAGCCGACCAATAGGGTAATACACCCATTTTCAAAAAGTGTTTTAAATGAATTCTATAGTGATAATGAACCACTATAAGTTTTATATATATTTTTTAAACGAATAGTGCCATAAAAATTACTTTTAATCTATCGTTTTAAATTTTCGGGTGAAAACGCTAGCCGTCATGCTGCTCAACTCGTGACGTCACTGTCCTCGGATTCTACCGATTTTGCAAAGGAATAAGATACTTTACAATGTTAAATAAGGAGTTATCATCTATAATTCTATATCATTGTTGTGTTGTGCCTGAACGCAAAAATACGAGCATAAGAACGCCGGGAAAGGTATGAATTCAAGTGCCAATGACTTTAGTGTAAGAAATACTTGGTTAAAACTAGCAAGAAGATACATTGTCTACAAAAACTGGACTTTTATTCTGTGAAGTTCATTTTGATGTAAGTATGACTTATATTTAACTAAAACTTGTATATATATATATATATATATATACTGCCTACTAGATTGCAATGCAGTGGACGATATGAATGACAAGCTCGTGGAAACTGTCCATGCGGTCGGAGCTAAGTTCTGCAAGACCCGCCGCAGAAGAACACAAAAACTCTCCGATCACACTCTTAATCTCATGGCTGTTAGACGGGAGATGAGGCTGCAATCGTCAACAGATTTGACAGCATACAGGCAACTGAACAGACAGATCTCCAAATGCATGCGGCGAGACTTACGCAACTTTAATACTGCTCGTATTAAAGAAGCGATCGAGCGGAACCAGGGCTCCAAAGTCTTTGCCAGAGATCTATCTGCCAGAAAGAGCCAACTGTCAAGGCTGAAGACTGAGTGTGGCAGCATCGTTTCCGGGACACCTGAGATTTTGAGTGAGATTGAGAGGTTCTATGGGCAGCTGTACACATCATCGTTGGAGCCACACGCAAGTGTGAGTAACGATCCAAGAGCAAGTCTTATCCGACACTATTCCGATGATATCCCGGACGTCAGTCTAAGCGAGATTAGAATGGCTCTCCAGCACCTTAAAAACGGCAGGGCCCCAGGCGAGGATGGAATTACAGCGGAGCTTCTGAAAGCGGGTGGAACACCGGTACTTGAAGTCCTTCAGAAGCTCTTCAATTCCGTCCTCCATGGTGGCACTACTCCAGAGGCGTGGAGCAGAAGTGCGGTGGTCTTGTTCTTTAAGAAAGGCGACAACGCTCTCTTGAAGAACTACAGACCGATTTCCCTTCTGAGCCGCGTCTACGTGCTGTTTTCGAGAGTCATTACGAATCGTCTCGCACGCAGACTCGACGACTTCCAGCCTCCCGAACAAGCCGGTTTCCGAAAAGGCTTCAGTACCATAGACCACATACATACCCTGCGGCAGATTGTACAGAAGACTGAAGAGTACAATTTGCCACTTTGCCTGGCGTATGTGGACTATGAGAAAGCCTTTGATTCCGTCGAAATTTGGGCGGTGCTGCAGTCCCTTCAGCGGTGCCAAGTTGACTGTCGGTATATTGAAGTGCTGAAGTGTTTGTACAGTAGGGCTACGATGGCTATCCGAGTACAGAACCAGAGCTCGAAACCTATCCAACTGCAGAGAGGTGTAAGACAGGGTGACGTTATATCCCCGAAACTCTTCACCGCTGCTTTGGAAGACGTTTTCAAGCTACTGGACTGGAAAGGATACGGTATTAACATCAATGGCGAGTACATCACTCACCTTCGATTTGCCGACGATATAGTCCTTATGGCAGAATCGCTGGAGGACTTAAGCACTATGCTCAATGACCTCAATAGTGCCTCCCAACGGATAGGTCTTAAGATGAACATGGACAAAACAAAGATTATGTTTAATGTCCATGTCACACCTATGCCGGTAGTTGTTGGGAGCACTATGCTCGAAGTTGTTGACGAGTACGTTTACCTGGGACAAATAGTCCGACTAGGTAAGTCCAACTTCGACCGAGAGGTCAATCGACGGATTCAACTCGGCTGGGCAGCGTTCGGGAAATTACGACATATCTTCTCGTCAGGTATACCTCAATCTCTGAAAACTAAAGTGTACAACCAGTGCGTGTTGCCAGTGATGACTTACGGATCAGAGACGTGGTCCTTCACTGCTGGCCGTATGAGGACGCTCAAGGTCGCTCAGCGAGCTATGGAGAGGGCTATGCTCGGAGTT